GACATATACTTCCTTAAAGTTTTACATCCATATAAGGAATAAAGCAAAACAAGTTTTCCTGTCTTTCTTAGTTTTGCCCTTTGCGGTTTCTTGCTCTGTCACCTGACATCTATTAATCATAGTCTGTTACAAAGGTTAATTCTACTTTTATAATTTCTACAGTTAGTTCTGCTTTTATGATTTCTGTCTACCCGTCAACTTTTTACGCCCCCCCTTTTTCTCCTTCCTCCAGGCCACACATACAGTTCACCTGACCCTACATACAGTTCACTTGACCAAAGTTTAGGCCTTAGACTATTTTTCCTCCACACTATCATCATAGTATCTCAGCATCTTAATGCAATGAATGATGGCAAGGATCAATGAGGGGGTGGGAGAATGGGCAGGTGCTTAGTATGTTGCATGCACTTCATAGGGCTCCCTTTCTATTCTGGCCTTGGAATTAGGAATCTCTTTTGTTGTTAACTCGTTACCTGTTCCTTTAGAGCACAAGCAGGCATGGACTCCGGACACCGTTCTGTTCAATACCGGCTCTGCTCAGATATACAGACTTGAGCTTAGATTCTGCCATTCCAAGCTCCATGCACTGTAATCTGAAAAGACAAGCAGCACGAGCACAGTGCTGGAAGACTGGTCTCGCACTCTAATCCTAGGATTGCCGCTGTCTCACTTAACACCTTGGTGTCTCAATTTCAAAGCACTTTTGCTAAGCAATAGCAGTGGCCAATGGGAAGTAAGTCCAGCAAACACCGTAATATACCAAAACTTACTTAGTTGTAGCCTTTGTAAAAGCTTGTGAGTTCTGAGTACTTAGCAACCAGTAACGTTTTTGTTAAATACCCAACCCTCCTCTAAAGCTTGGGGACTGACCTGTTTTTAGTTCTCTCCCTGAAACATCCTCCCAAATCCCTCAACGCAAAAAACCTTAACTAACCACTCTTTCAAAATCAAGAATTCCCTCTTAAAGCTACGTGCATTATATGTAACGGCAGTCCCAGCAGCCCTTTCTCATTTGAGTTTACACGTTAGGCCTTTCAGGCTTTAGTTCCAACAGCATCACCTCTTGGTAAATTCACCGCAGGATGATAGTGAAGTCCCTTTTAAGACTAGATTTTCTTTTAGGACTGTGGAAGGTAAAGAGCTGATAGGGTCTTTATTAGGTGGTGAGTCATGTGCTTTGTGAATCCACACCTGCTTTGTTCCCAGCATTATTTACTTGGACTCCCAACAATCTCTGTGTTTTCTCCTTTTGTACGGAAGATTTCCCATCTGTTGTAGGAAACAGGGAAATTGTAGAGTAATTCACCCAGTTCAGGGGACCCTTCCTACTCTTGTCTTTCCGACACTGGATGGTTGTCAGCGATACTCTGTCTGATAATGATCAACAAGTCTTGATTGTTGCTTTGGCCTTTCAGATCAGCTGTGTAGCTAGATGATTTGGTAGGTGCTGGACCAGGTGCTTCATCTAGGAGGCATGGAGAGCTGCAGGGCACTCTGTCTCTCTGCATTAACAGCTGGGCTGCTTTGGGTTATGGCAACTGCTGGGCAGAGAAAGGTGATGGTTTGGAGACTAGTGTCTGTAATGAGCTCCCACTGTACCTAGACTACATAGACTATGCTCATCCGCTGCATGTCAACGTGTCCATCTCTCCTGGCAGCTCTACTCTCACGTCCTCCTCCTACCTCCTGGAGCCTGAGCGTCCCTCTGATCTGAGCCTTTGTTACCTCTTCCCATCTCCTCTTGGTGCCTTCTTCCATGCTGTCCCCTACGTTTGGAACAGCCTCTTCCTTCAGGCCCCTCCTCGAAACATATATCCTGTCTTCCACAAAGCCCTTCAGAAATCACCTCTGCCAACAGAGTCTTACCCCACCTCCTGCTCCCTGCGCCACTCTGTGTCTTAGCTCCACGGTCTGTATCTGAGCCTTGCATCAGATGCTGTGTGGTTGTCTTCATACATGAAGCATCAAACGCGCTGCTAGGACTTGATAAGTGCTTGTCTGGGTGCATGTGGGCTCCTGCCCCCATACCCAGCTATGACGCCATTTAGAGCTGACCAGGACGGAGAATCTGTGTTGAGGAGAAGGGGACCAGGCAGCAGAGATGCACTGGGGGAAGGAAAGGGGAACAGAGAGGATGGTGGGGGAATGAAGAGCAAATGGTAATGGCATGATTAGCATTTTCAAAAGCACTTACTGCAGCTAAAAATAGATTTCCCCCCTTTCCTGACATTCCGAAGCCACGGCTAGTGATGCTAGATGGCTCGTATGGGATGAGCATGGGGAGGGGAGGGGTGCATATGAGATGGGCTCCCCAGTAAAGTCTGGTCCATGCTGTGTAAAAGTTGGAGGAAGTTACTAGCTGTGGGGTTTAGTACAGGCCAGAAATGCTTCAGGGAACTTCCTTTCATGCTTTTCTGACACACGCTGCTTCCTTCTCACCCAGAGATGCTGGAGAGCCGGAAACAACGGGACAGCGGGAGGGAAACAAACATTTTAGAGCAGGAGTGGGCAAACCACGGCCCGGGGGCCGCATCCGGCCCTTCAAACGTTTTAATCCGGCCTTTGAGCTCCGCACGCTGCCCCCGCCCCAAGTGCCACCCCCGCAGCTCCTATTGGCCAGCAAACAGGGCCAATGGGAGCTGCAGGGGCAGCGCCTGCGGACGGGGTAGTGTGCAGAGCCGCCTGGCCGCGCCTCCACATAGGAGCCAGAGGAGGGACATGCCCCTGCTTCCGGGAGCTGCTTGGGGTAAGCGCTGCCTGGAGCCTGCACCTCTGACCTCCTCCTGCGCCCCAGGCCTGATCCCCCTCCCGTCTTCCAAACCCTTCAGTCCCACCC